TAAAGCTGAATTTAAAAACTTAGATAATAATTTAGGCTACTTATAGAAAGGTCAATTAGATTATCTGTGAACAGTGAAGGATAAATTAATCTAGCAGGCGCCAAATTGCATGTATTACACTGAAGAGGTGCAGAAGGAACTTGAGCTGCTCTCAGATGGCCACAGACCCACCCCATGGTTTGGATATGAAGCTGCAGGTTCCACCTGAATAAATAATTGGATGAGACTCCAGTAGAGTACTCCTGCTGAAGCTGCTGAAAGCCAGCTCATTCAAGGCATTTGACTTTGCCAAATATATGGCTTATGTTTAAAGTCAGAAGTAGAAACTTGTTAAAAACAAAGGGAGAGCCAATCTGATTGAAGTAGAGCTGTAGAAGAGAGGGGGCAGTTTATACTGAAAGTTTATGAGCTTGTCTGCTTTCCGAGAGTAACAATACTAAGATGTTTCCTCTAGTTTCTCCAGATGCAGAGCATGTAGAGATGCAAATACAGATCTAAAATTCTTGCTTGCTCTAGATATTTCTAACCAGGAGTATTTATAGAAGACAGGGAAACTGAAATCTTATAAATTTTAATCCCAGCAAATAAAATATTGAAGGCAAATTATACTCAGAAGAGATGCAATTGATTTTACTGTTAAAAAAATCCAAAAAATTTACCACACCACTTTTTTGGAAGTCAATTCAATGAAAGATTATGATACAAGATGAGCAAATACTAATGGGTGAATACTCAGAAGTGTTTGTTGAAAATTTACACCAATAAAAATGTCTTAAGGGCAAAACAAATTATTTAACATTGCAGGAACAAGAGGAATGTTTGTGTTTACATGTTTTTCATGGAAAATATAATGCAAGTGTAGACTCCAGCTGGAACATCAGTGAGTTACCACATAGGAAGTTACAAAAAACCTGTTACAATATTTAGAATTAGAGAAAATTATAAACATTTATCCCTTCCATTTTCTTGAAAATGGCAATTATCTTCAGATTTGTATCTTCTAAAGATCTAGAAACTATTGAGTACCCTTTTGTCTGTGTGTTCTTTATTGTATTTCTTTTCTAATTGGTCTTTTCTACTAGATTTTATAAAGACAAGCAAACATGAGAGAAATACATTAGAACACTGTAAAAAGTTATACTTTGCTCATTGGATTCATAACTATAACGTGCAAACAGAGCAGTTTTTAGTTCAGCCAAGTATGTCTTATTCTATAATGTCTGGAATCAACTCCAGTCATGGTTATGAGTTTGCCATCATGATTGGTAGCTGTACCCAAACCACACATACATTATGCAAGAGATCATTACTGGAAGTATTTAATTCACAACCTATGTTTCTCAGCTAGCAAAGCAAGGGGGGGGGGATTCATTGGAGTGAAATGAAACTGAAACAGAGCACATGCCTCAAGCCAGCCAAAAGAAAATAAAGCATAAAAGCACTGCATGGCTGCAGGCCAGTGAATGCTCCATCACACAGTTGTCAGCCTCCTCCTGTGGCCAGAAACCCTGTACATCATGGTCTGTGTGTTGGGCTCCTGAAGCTTGAGCTGTATAACACCGCTGGCACACACCAGTGCTCCCTGCTGCTGTCACATGCAGCGAGCAGGACATGGCCTGGGGGAGCTCCTTCCCTCTGAGCTCCCGCTTGGGAGCCCCAGCAGCACCGGGGATTTGTGGAATGGTGATATGGGCACCGGGGGTCCCTGAGCACCATCCCCAGCTCTCCCACTGTGGGAAGCTGGAAATAAGAGAAAAGAAGGGGGTTTGGTTCATGTCAGGGATTTTTCAACATCTCAGTAACTCTCGGTGTTCTACAGAAAGAGAAAATAAATGGAAGTTGTATTCTACAGAAACCAAGTCAGTCACTTGTCTGACGGTGCTGGATAGGGCCATTAAATAGTAGTTACGGTAAAAGTGCTTTCCCCCTGTTTCTTTTTCTATGAACTTACTGCCAAGGTCACTGTTCTTCTTTCCCTACCAAGTAAACCAAATGACAACATTTTCTGTGTCTTATTTTCAGCCTTTTGGAGGACACAGTCCTATTACTATTACACATGTTATTCTTGCTTTATATAGTCTGTAACACAAGGTGTAATTCACTGCTGCTGAATCAAGGCTGGTTTACATATTTGCAATTCACTGTAGTTTTTTTGGAAAAAGTCTTATGGACCCAAAACTGCACACACAAGATGCTGTTGTGATTGTACTTCAAAAGGATCAGGCTGCTCCAAAGCTTAGGTACTTTAAATACCACAAAAGCACCTCTGGAGTCAATATGCTTTAAAAAAGCATCAGGTAAAACTACAGAATTTTTTAGGGGAGAAAAGCAAAAGAATGACAATTGAAAGGATGAACTAAAAATATAATACATCTATTTTTTTTTTTGAGTTCTAGAACTATTTTATTTTTTAAAATTCCCAGGAGAAAAAATTCATTGTTATACCAGATTAAAAAAAAAAAAAAGTAGCTTATGCCCAAAGTATTGAAAAACATGAATTAGTTCAGACAACAAAATTACTTTTGAAGAAGAAAATTTGTAATTGTACATTGTAGTTAATTGTAGTTAATCTGACTGCTCTTTAAAATGCACAAAACTCTATATTATGTAATCAGATATTAAGAAAAATTTTTTTTTCCATTGTGCTTTGAATTTTTATTTCCTCTGCACCATGATTTTAATTTCTGTTTATTTCTCTTAGAAACTTGCTTTTGAATTGCATGTAACAAACGCAAGGCTGTAGGCATCTCTTCCTGTAAATACACATTTCTATATCTGGTTTGGAATATGCAATTTGCCAAAAATATCAGGTGACTCTTTTTATGAAGTACTTAGGAGGTTTTAGTGCATTCATTACACACGGTGAATTTAATGAAATAAATGGCCGTGCTTGAAATGAGAGACTGTAAATAAGAAATGCACTTGGAGGGTCAGAAATCTGTATAGGTTCCTAAACTTCTTAATGTTATAAGTTGAATAATTCAGGTTTGTGTCAGTGGGCAGGCTACAGCTGCTGTTCCTGAGCTGGCATTTTCTCAGGCTGCCGAAAAGTATCTGCATCACTGGGCATGTTCTGTACATTCGAGTGAGAAGAGCAAGAGCTGCAGGACCTTTGCTCTCTGCAGCTGATCACAAACGACCGCAGACGCAGAGAGTTTCTGTGTCTGCAGAGAGATTCCTCAGAAATCTCTGTATGCCTGGTTCCCTGAGGCTGAGAACTTCCATATGGATCTCTGTTCTTCCAGGATCCTCAAGCTCTAAGTAATCAACTACTTGGTACCACTAACCCTGTTTCTTGCAATAGAAAAGTTTTTGCAGATGAGACCACCCTTACTTCTAATTTCTTGTGAGATTCCTCAGAAATCTCTCTGCAGACACAGAGAGATTTCTGAGGAAAATTTCTGAGTCCTCAGAAATTTCTGATTCCTCAGAAATCTCTCTGCAGACACAGAGAGATTCCTCAGAAATCTCACAAGAAATTAGAAGTAAGGGTGGTCTCATCTGCAAAAACTTTTCTATTGCAAGAAACAGGGTTAGTGGTACCAAGTAGTTGATTACTTAGAGCTTGAGGATCCTGGAAGAACAGAGATCCATATGGAAGTTCTCAGCCTCAGGGAACCAGGCATACAGGTATTTTGTGTCTTATGAGCTGGGGTGCTTTTTTCCCCTCTTCTTTTGATTATGGAAGTTTGCTGGCTTTTTTGCCTTTAGCTAAAGAAGAGAGAAATTATTTATAAGGTTTTTATAAACTTGGAAGAAAAGGTTTTGAAGTTATTGACAAAGAACAGCAGTAATAACATTATGGACTTACAGTAGGCAGATAAATAGGAATATCTGTAAGAAGAAATATATTTTAATTTATAACCATTTATGCTCTTCAGTGACTTTCAAATAATTTGGTAGAGATGTTATGTGTTCCTATTTACAGGAAAATCTTTATATTGTCTAAGTCAATAAGGCTTTTGGCAGAGGATTCAATAGCAAATGACATTTGAAAAAATGTTTTAAGGTCGCATGTATGAAGCAACAAGTTAGGGATCTATCTACTTGCAATTTTTCATCTTGGGAATGTATGTCAGAACTCAATGCAGTAATGATTTTCTATATTTTTCCTATGTCAGAATTTCAGAGAGAGAAGAAATTGAGTTATTTATAGACTTCTCCATAATTATGTATTTGATCCCTATTCAAGGTTAGGAGAAATTGGGAGGAACTATATTGGGAAATTCTTATTAATCATGTTGGATTAGATTTATAGATGTGCCTTTCATAATGGAACATCTTCCAGTCAGTAGTTGAAATTGTTTTGTCCTAAAGTTATAGTAAAAGTGGCAAATATAAGGTTTTTAACTCAGTTTTCCCACCACATGCCCTGCTGTGCTGGGAAGTTGTAATACCATTTTTGGTGGTGGAAATAAAATATGAACCCTCAGTTTTGATAGTGTCTCTCTCAATTGTGAGTTCTATCAATATAAATAAACCAGAACATATAAAATTTATGTAATCACTAAATAAAGCCACATTTCATTCTAGTTACATATGGACTAGAATCACTGAGCACTGCAGAGAGATTTGGAGCCAAGATTTTTACTTGAATAAGAAATGGGAAATTGGTACACAGTCATGGGAAATGTATTGCCTAATACTTTATTATTTAGATACATATATAGGTAGTTGTATGATAACAATATGGTCAAGTTTTGTGCAGGAAGATAATTGACAGCTCTATGATCCGATATTTATTTTCTGAACTGTACAGGTTTAGCCAGTTATTTGAGCCAGTTATTGAGCCATTAACTTTTTTAACCTTTGCAATTATCAATAGTAAAAAATATTGTACCAACCACATGCTTTAACCAGAAAGCTCTGTGTGCTTTTTGTCCTCCATCAGGACAGAACCATGAAGGAAAATGAGCCACAAAGACTTCACAAGTGATTCATTGCTTCCATCAAAGCAATATGATTTTCAATTGTACTTTCATTTGTCTTTTCCCTGACAGGAGGCATCGTTGATAAGGACCTTCGTCACTACCTCAATCTACGGTTCCAGAAAGGTTCGGTGGACCATGAGCTCCAGCAGATCATAAGAGACAATCTCTACCTCCGCACCGTGCCATGTAAGTAGGGTGGAGATGGACAAACCTCCTTTTTAGTGCCAATAGGCTGTCTGGGTGAGTGCTGCTGAGGCCCTTTGCAATGCATGAGGAGATGTCTGTGGATAAAACAGACCTGTAAATAGATTTGTGGCTTGGTTCCAGTCTTCTACATTACTGCTGAGAAATTCAGCTGTGCAATGCTGATGTTTTTGTGGTGTTTTCAGAGCTGTAATTTCATCAAGTCTGTCTCTAGAATAATAATAATCTTATTTCTTCTGTGGTCTCAGAAAGCACAAATTTAAAGAGAAAAAAGCCCACTTTTCTGGGCTGGTTCAGTGGATGTCCAACAGAGAGAGTTTGATCTGCCTCAAGTTTCACATATCTATTATGTAACAATGCTATTGGGTTTAGAAAGCAATAGGGCAACAGAAGAAATGTATAAACTAGATTTTATTTGAATGCAACAGGCGTGGCAATGAAAGTTTGTACTGTCTTGCAAATGTGTTTGTTGCCACATAAGTCAATATTCAACATATTCTGAAAACTCTGAAATGGTTTTTGTTGTATTGGCCATATTCAACTACTTCAACAGTAGACATGAAATTAAACAGAGTCACGCACGCCATGCCCTACTGTCAGGGCCATGCCTTTCAGAACAGATCTACTTGGCTGACAGACAATATATCATTTAAAATGGACTGAAGTTCCATTATTCTTCCTTCATAAAATAATTGCTTAGCAGACATAAAATGGGTCTTCTGGTTTTGGCAAATAGGGGTGCACTTTTGAACTTACAAACTTGACACTGGAATGATAGGCAGAGAAAGGTGTACTGAGTTAGTGGCTGTGCTATGTACATGGTAATGAGTGGGTACTCTGAAAGCTGAGTTGTTGTGAATGCTACTGTGTGTTTTTACTTTCATAATTTTAAAGAATGGAGCTTTGAAAAGATCCTCCTAAAAAATAAATATAAATTCCTAATTTCTAATGTTCCATTTGCAACTGATCAGAAAGGAAGGTGGAGAAAAATATTTAAAAAATATTACCTGTATACAGAAAACAAAAAAATGTAATATTTATGTGAGAGTTATGATGAATTAAGTTTGTCTGAAAATGCTGAGAAACATCACAGCTGAAGGGGAAATGCATTCACAAAAAAGTTTTGAGACTAAATCCCACTTCGGAGGATGTCTGGGAGCATCATTAGCCTGAGCATGTTTTTATTATAACCCCAGTCCATGCTCATTAGTGCCACAGGTTCAGGTTAAAGAAGGAAAACACAACAATATTGCAACTACTGCACACAAGTGTATGACAGACACTGTCAGCAATATGGGCACAATGAGTATTTTTTTTGAGGTTGTTTTGTTTACATTCAAGGCAATAATAAAGTAGTGTCAAGTAAAATATGCTACCCACAGAAACAAATTTTTCATTCAAAATGCAACACTACAACCACAAAGACTACAATTTGAACCTATAAACAATATAACCTTTTCTTTTTGCTGTGGCTTCTCCATCTTCTGTGTTATTTTAGATTGTTAAGTTCTTAGTTCAGTATTGTATTATATAGTGAGCATTTTTGTCAAAGTAAAAACTACATTTTGAAATATACTATAATGTTGCAGATGGCAGGTACTGATTTGCCAGGTAAGTTGGCAAATATTCTTGGAGAGTGGAGGATTCTTTTCAGTAGTAGTGGTGAGAAAAAAAACAACCAAAAAACCTCCATAGTGCCTAATTGGTATATTTTCTTCAAAATTTTCTTGAAAATTCTATGAAAGTAATCCTTTTTCAAAGTGGGTATTTAAAAAAAAAGAGAAATTATCAAATGCAGACAGGATGATATCTCATTAGCTAAAGAATTTTTCATTATCAGTCAAATAAAAAGGACACCATCACACAGTTTGCAACCAAAATTTTCTATAAATCCTAATTGTGGTGAAAATCTTTTTTTAATGCAGTTTTACTCTGTTCCCAGCATTCATGCCTAGGACAGAAAATATTTTCAACTATTTTCTTATTTTCATATAACTTCAATAATTTTTGAATTACGAACTTACCTTTCAAGGGCATTGGTATTCACAATGTTCTGCTCTGGGCAGTATTTTATTTTTAAGCTCTGTACATAGACTAAGAGTACTGCTTGGTTGTCCTTAGTATGCAGTGGTAATGTTTAACTGCCTGTGCCACTGCCCACAAGTTCACTTATGAGTGCGCCTAACCATGAACTTATTACAAATCTGTCAACAGATACCAACACAGCAAAAGCAGCACTCATTTTTGTCAAATTCTTGTGCAGAAGAATGGAGAGGGAAACCCAACTGCAGGCAGCACAGACTTAATTTCCAATGACAAGGTTGTAACACAAAGAGGAGGGGAAAGATAGAAAAATAGGTGGCAACATTTTTCTTTTAAAAATGCGTCCACAATCTTTGCTCTGTTACAGAGGCATAATTGCCAGTAAAGCCATGAGAAGGTTTATAGAGAGTCCTTGACCTTGCATTTTTCTGTCCTTTCCTTTCTGTTCACACTGGCAGCACTAGCCCCAGCAGAGCAGTGGGCATGGCCATGGGTTTCTCAGCCCTCTAGGTCAGACTAAGTCATCTTTCACTTGCATTTTATGAGTGAGCATTCTCTATGAAGCCAGGAAGCAGAGAACTAATCCATTCCTCTTTTAAATCAGGGTAAGCCAACTCAAGTTAGACAACTGAACTGGTATTTACTAAAAACTAAATAAGTTTGGGCTTTGGACTCAACCTTGGCAGTGTCTAAAGCCAGGCTGGAAAAGGCCTTATAGAACCAGCTCTAGTGGGAGCTGTCCCAGCCCATGTTAGTGAGTGTTGGGACTAGATGATCTTTAAGGACTCTTCCAGTCCCTTAACATTCCATGACTCCAGGTAAGACTTTCAAGTGTCTATTGCACAAGTGTACATCCCTGTGACACCAAAGAATAGATGGGCCAGAATCATATGATGTGATGATAATGGGTCAATTCTGCCCTCAGAATTTGTATGTCCTGAGAATGGGATCAGTTGGTTGGGTTTGTGATCCTTAGGTTCCTCTTTTTTTGCTAGTGCAGTGCCCCTTTCTACTAAATTAGAAATGACCATATACTCCTGAGAGTCAAATGCTGCCTTCCATAAGTGTCACAGGTCTCAGTGCATATAAAATTGGTTTTCCCTGCATTGCCAAGAGGAATGATATGGATATGTCCCAGGGTGGGATGTACAATTGTATTTGCAGCAGTTACCAAGCCAGTTCTGGAGAAAGGAAAATTCCTCATTTTCCAGTTTCAGAAGACCTAGGTGAAGGTTGTGTCATGCATTTTCTTCCCCTTTTCCTGTTGTGCAGAATTTTAGTACTTTTCACATCCTAAACTTACTCCTGATTTAGGAGCACTACTGTGCACTACTATGTTTTACCATGCCTGCAGAAAAATAGGCATGCTGAAACATGGTAGCTTTCAGCACTGTCTGACGCTATCCATCCAAATCTAGGGATTTGGAGAACAGCCACAAAACACATGTAAGGCTCTGAATGCTATAGGCAGAAAACACCTTGGTCATGCTGCATCTTGTCCTTGGTAGTGCTCTCAGCAAACTGCAGTTGCCATGTGGGCAAGCAGCTTCCCAGTCTTCACTATTGTGAGAAGAGATGGCTCTAGCTCTGTGTCATCTCAGGAATTAAGCTTTGAGGAGAGTAAATCACAGGAAAGCAGTTTTGTTAGTGACATTCATGGCCAGACCTATCTCCTTTGATATGTCCTTTCCAGCAATTGCAAATTCCATTTTCTTTAAGAGCTGGCAAAACAGGATAGCTGTGGTTGAAAACAGAATCAGTGTATGCTTCCTTTCCAGACAGGGAATGTGAAATGATAGTGGAAAACATTGTGATTTAACAGCACTGTAAAAAGTCAAGGACAAGCTGATTCATAAAAGTAAGTCATCCATTAATTGGAAGAGAAGCTCATTGATTTCCTCTGGGATATAACTTCAGATTGACAGTAGCTCAGATGGTCTATCCTGCTGGAGAATGTAGGAGGATGCTGCCCAGGAATACTTTCTTCACAGTGAAAATGGGGAAAAAGTAGCCTTAAAAACATTATGGGGATGAGGAAGCTTCCTCCCTAGTTTTTCAGTTTAGACAAAAAAGGAATTATATAAGAATACAGAGGACTGGGTATGTGGCTCAGCCTTACAGTTCTGGATATTGCAGTGTTACCATTAGCACAGAAATTGAAGGATGTTTTATTCAAAACATTTATCAGCAGCATAGGAAAAAAAGTTAAGTTTGTAACTGAGCCACATGTTGTATGTGAGTGACCAGGGGCAAGAAATGGAATTATTATGGGCAGCAGTTTCCCACATACCAAATTATGATAACAAATCCTCCATTTTTTCAGCTTTCCTGTTGATGTCATGGGTGCTCTGTGTTAGGTGAATACAATTAACACTGCACTGCAAATATGACACCTATGAACACTTAATAAGTTACTTCCACTGTGACTTTTTTTTTTCATCTTTTGTGAATATTTAGATTCAGGTTATTTTGAGTCAACATAAATAAGAGCCTCATTTTCAAATATAGTTTTGTTCTATTGTATTTTAGTATAGTCTGGTCTGTATATAAATTTAACTCACATGCTGCAATGTGTCTGTGTACTGTTGAAATGTTATGTCTTACAGCATGCATATGTTTGTTGTCTAGTCCTCTTCCCAGAAGAAAAAGTACATGCAGTGATGCAGTTTTTTTCTGGGTGTTGATTTTATTTATGATATACAGTAAAAGTAGAGTCGTTAGCTTATACTTTGGTGGTACTAAAGTCAATAAAATACATTTATGCTTGAAGCTGTAAGGGAATTCACACTTTCAGACCTGAACAAATCTCCATCTGAAAAACAATGCAAAACAAACAATGTCATTTCCTTTGTCAGAGAAGTGCAAACCTTATTGCCGAACCTTACCCATAATCTACTTTATGGGTACCAATCAGAAATAAAGAACTTCTGGGAGTGTGT